GTCAAAACAAAGAGTATAAAATTTATTTGATAAATATTAAACAAAAAAATATATAGCTAAAACTATAAATATAAAAAATATAAAGAAAGATCTATCGGTATGTTTATATGAATTTTAATACTAATGATATAAACAAAGTATAATTGTTAAAAAGAAAGTTTAATTGTCAAAACAAAGAGTATAAAGTTTATTCAGAAAAGCCTATAAGGCATATCAGCTATTTGAATTTTTTTAAAGATTTGGATTATATATAAATAAAGCTTTCTTTCTAATTCATTTACAAATAAATTCTTTTATATCTGTTTTCTCTCGCTTATTCATATATTATATTATTTGTATATTCTATTTAAAATTTTTTTAATTATAATAGTTTACAGAAAAAAGAGTTGAATAGTTAAAAAAACAATTGAAAAAGTTAACAAATCTAAAACTTTAAAAAATTGTTTCCTTAAATCTTGTTACTGTAAAATGTACAATAGTAATCTTGTTGATCCAAAAATTAAAAAAGCCTATATAGCTAAAAATAATATTATAAAAAGAAATATTTGTGAAAGAATTATATCATTTTGCACATATGCGCTGTAATACACCCTATAAGATTAGGTGTAACATGAAATCAAAACAATAAATTAATTTGTTAGTTTAGGGTTAGAGTAAGGGTTAGGTTAGGGTTAGGTTAGGGTTAGGGTTAGGGTAGAGGTTTTAGCAAAAAGGTTTTAACCCAAAATTTTGCAAGGAATTTTTTTTGTTAGTACACGAAAGGAGGTTTCATAAGCAAAATTTTTAGCTATAAGTGATTTTTTTAAAAGATCGCCATTTTTTTGATTTCATGTTACACCTGATCTTAAATTCTGATTGGTCAATCAGTGGGTGCGTTACTACACATATATGCTAAATTATATAACTTTTTGTGAAATTGGTAAATCTTCAAAAAGTAAAGCTGCCATAGTAGACCTTCTGAAAATGGAATTTCTACAAGTAGAAATTTCAAAAAAGCATATGCAAGTTGATAGTAGCTCTGATAATAATTTTGAAATTTCTTATAAAACAAGTTACAGTTTCATTACCAAAAGTCAATCTAAAAAAAAGAAGAAACCAATTTGCATCGGAGGAAGAAAAGCACCAATACACACTCAATTATTTAAAAACATGTTTTTAGATGAAGATGATGATTATGTGGTTGAAGATCATTATGAAAATTTAACCAAACAAGAAATTAATTTTAATACACCAGATGATAATCTATATAGATATATATATATCTTATAAATCTATAGATTTTACTATAGGTTTCACATGGATAATTATATAAATTCTTAAATTTCAACAGAGGTTCTGAATATCTAATATATTAACTAATGCTTTAATAAAATTCTTCTGCTATCTCTTACTTCTTCAAGATACTGTTGCATATGCTTCTTTTCTAACTAGTTTAGATATGGCATATAAAGTACTTGGAGTTTGTATTTATATAATTAAGTATACAACATGTGAGAAATGTTGTAAGCTATATAACATTGCCAATGTGTCAACCAAAAAACCTGATATGGCACCTAAAATTAGCTATTGCACTTTTCAAGATCTTCTAAAGAATACACTAGGACATAGAATTGATTTTACTATCACATGCCCCTGATCTGATAATCTAATAATTGATCTCCTATATTGCATATGTAGATTTTGTACTACAGATTTGCTAATATATTAATGTATAAGTATTTATATCGGTTAAAATAATTTTAATTAGTGGTAGTTTATTATATTAAAAATTGATAAATGAGTTTGCCATTTCAGTCAAAAAACTTTTTGTCCCTAACTACCTTTTTTTTGCCCTGACTTATCAAAACTTTATAAATATTGTTTAAATATTTTCATATTTTTATTATCGATTTTCATTATCAACATACAGTATATTTTTTATAAATTTTTGATAAACTATTTAGAATTCTCTCAACTTGTGATTGAGATCATTATTTAACCTACTATTGCAATTAAGCATCACTACAATTATTAAAAAATTATAGTAATAGCAATATTTGAGCATATTTCAATAATATCGCAATTCATCTATCCAAAATATTATAGATCATTATTTCGATTGATGCCTGAAACAGCATAGCTAATTTAAGTATTTCATATCAATAATCAAATTATTAAGGTTTAAGATATAAAATAATATATACAAATCAAATATTTATACTATTCACATTTTAACCAATTTTAGTCTATATTTAATTAATTATTCACATTTGAATTTAACTATAAATAATCTCTCATTCTCATAGCAATTAAGTATCTCAGATTTGATATTCAAATGAATTAAATAATTGTATAAAACATTCATATATATAAACAAATTAACAAATACAGTAAAATATTAATATTTAAAAAAGCAATTAGATTTAAATTTTTATTTAATTAAACATTTATTACAAAATTGCTAAAAAAATTATAGTATACATAAATCGATTTGCTAATTTATTTATTCATAACTTAGTATATATTAATATTAGAAAATTCTAAAACCTAATTGTAATTGATTAAAAGCTAATGTATAATAATTAATATATATATAATTTAATTCTTTTTAAATATCTTGATTCTAATCAATTTTGATTCAAATTGATCACTATCATTCTACTAATAATAATCGTTTAAAACAACTAGGTCTTGATCCAAATATTTATTTTTATGCAAAGTATTTAAACTGTTATCTTGACATTTAGTTTGCTACCAAAAAGTTTTAAATCTCTTTAATACTTACAATTAATTAATACAATAATATTAATAAAATTGCTAGTGATTATTGTTGATATTATATTCAAAAATAATCAGTATAAAATTATTTTTTTGTCTATAGATTAATTAAGAATTAATAAAATAAATACTTTCTTAATACCAATGTGTAGTACTTGCAGATCTAATCAGTCCTCTGAAGAATTTATACTTAATAGTAGCAACTACAAAACTTGTAATAGATGTAGATTCACAAGAACTAAAAAAAAAGAGTAAATCAGTTAGTAGCTTCAATATTGAAAATAATTTCATTGAAATAATTTCTATACAAGAAGTTAGTAGCTCTAATATTGAAAATAATTTTATCGAAATAATTCCTATACAAAAAGTTAGTCAATATATTATAGATACAATTAATGATTTAGAAGATTATACTGAACTTTCTCTTGTCTTTTGTATTCGGCTTAATGAAGCCATAATAAGTGATACTAATATAAATATTAAAGCTATAGTGAAATTAATAATTAATAAAATAGAAGAAGAAGATAGTTACAATTGGATATATATAACAAATATATATTTATCTTATATTGTTTAGCTATAGTCACTGTCCAAATTACTATTTTTAAAAAAATTGAAATTGTTTTTAGAATTATTATAGAATATAGCATGTATTTAATTATATACTAATTAATTAATATACTGTACTTGTAAATATAGAGCTCTAACCTTTTAGCTTAGTATCATAATATCAGAAATACTTACTTTGCTTGCTTTCAAAGTTCTGAGCTTGAACATGAACTTAAAGATTCAAATCAAAAAAGAATTTTTCATTATGATTGTGGTAGAAAAATATTAATTAAAATAGCAATTCTATAAAAGTGATGAAAATTATATTGTCTCAGCACATATGTTTTTTACCAAACAAATTAATAATTATTGCACTCTATGTTTTCATCTTGATACAAATAATACAACAGCTATTAGTTTCACTACATGCCTACTTGATAAATCCAATTATATGAAAATATACTGTGACACCACATATAAAACCTCCAAAGGGTAATTCAAGCTTTATAGAGTTGTTGGCAATGTTTAAGGAGTAGGTTTTGCATTAGTATACCTTATTATAAATATGACAAAGACTTTTAAAAATAAAAGCCAAAATGGATTATAGACTGAAACACTTATAGAATTTTTTCGCACTCTTTGTAATAAAGGTCTAAATCTAACTTTCTTTTACTCTAATAAAGATTTTGCCAAAATAACTGCTGCTAAAAATATATGGCTCTTAATTGGCATTTAGAAAAAGCAATCAAAATAAGCTTAAAAGTCATAAAAAAATCAAGCATATAAATTATAATTCTGAAGAGGTTATAAAAGAATTTACTTTTGTTAATTCTTCTTTTATACCAGACCTACAATATACAAATTATAAGTATAATCCTGAACTTTATATTACTGTTGTTAAAATAATTAAAAACTATGCTAATATGTATTCTAAGATTCCTATGAATTATCATAGACAATTTTTATCTTCTACTAAAATAAGAATAAAAGTAGTTTTCAAAATATATAAATTTTGTTTCACAAATAATCTTGTAATATTATGAACCTATTTATAGTCCTCCTGGTACAAACCTATAAGATAGTATCTTTGGGCACGTTCTACCTGAATAACTATACTACTTGGTAAAACTAACAATATAATCGAAGCATATTAGATAGTTTTAAAACACTGTTATTTTTTATATCTTAACTGTTTATAGCTTGACTATCTAATCTGGATTATTTTTTTATATATTATACCTGACCAGGTTGATTGATTTTAGCAATTAGCAACTGGTAGAATAGAACCAGCATGGTTTGATGAATTTAAAAGACAATAGAGAAACCTTCTTACCAAATCACTAAATCAAGATAATTTATATTTTATTGATTTAGACCGCTGGATTTGCAGCTGCCTATCATTTTTTAACAATTGCTTTCTTATCTGTAAACATTTAGTTTATAAAGTATCAGAAAGTACAAATGATTCTAAAGGTATTAGATTGATATATTCTAATTTCAAGCGTCAATCTAATTATTCCTTTTTGATATAAAATACAGTAGCCTACTATATTATTGTGAACACTTTTTAAAAATTTATTCAGGGCTATATTTATAAGATATCAAGTTAAAAATTAAATTATAAATTCTTTAAATCTATATCTTTTAAATAAAAAAAAAGTTTAAAAAATTCTATGCTACAGTTTTTAAAATAATTAAGTTTAAGTAAAATTTTAGATTTTTACTTTTTTTTTTTTTTTATTGGTTAAGGAGACCTCTTTGGCCTGAAAGCTTTTATTAGGATTTGAAACAATGTTTTGTATGTAATTACAACGATGGTACATCAAGCCACACGTGCACCTTTTGAGTGCCTAATTTAAGTAGTCCACCTAAAGGTTCTACACTATTTGCCGTACCTGCACCCCAACTAGGGGAGTGCCCATTTAAACTATCTGGTTATAACTACCACCGGTTAACCACCTAAC